GACTGTCAACAAGGAAGAGGGCCGGCAATGGAGGAGGGGGCGTACCAAAGAGACCATCTTAGCACCAACAGAACTGGTTTGTTCCACTTTGGAGTAAGCTGTTTGGGGGAAGAATCAGTTTTGTTGTGTGTTTCCTTGACTGATGAAGCCTTCTGGATCGAAGGCGAAACGTTTCAGCACAAAAAAAGAAACTGTCCAGATGACCTGACTGAAAAATGTTGGGTTTACATTTTATACTTTTGTTGGATGTAACTGGGACCCTGTGTACACATTTTCGTTCCACCACATGTGGTGTGAATGACAAATAAAAAACCTTGAATCCATATGGATGTGTTTGAAGTGGTTTTGTAACCAGGAGGAATGGACTGGTGAGGAGCGGTGCTATATCTTGTTCAGCAACAAATTTAAGTTCCGCATCACCTCAGACAGCCAGTGTGTGTCTGTATGGTGGCTCTGAGGGGAGAAGACTAATCCTTTGGAGACACATGGCATCAAGGTGGTGAGCCAAAGTGTATGACTTCAGGTCACCTCTGATAGTAATTTGTTGGACCCTGATAGCAGATCCTGGCTCTGCATGTTTGAACACAACATGCAAAAAAGACAACACACATCCCCATCCAACAGGCATGTCTTTGGACAACCTGAGTCATGTAGGGGTCCTCTCATGGCCAGCTAGGTCCTGAGCTTTCCCCAAACAAACCTATGTGAGATAAAGGATCGTTTCAGATTTCAGCTCCAATCTGGTGTTAATCTGCTGAATCCTGAGGCCTTCTTGATGGCTGTGGGTCAGTTTGAAGTAGGATGGTGGTTGTAGGACATTGGACTGCACCAAACAGCTACATGAATCCAGACCCCAGGATGTGCCACACACTATCTGACATGAAACCAGCAGAGGCCACGTACTCCCAACTTCATGAATAGACCTGATATTGTAATCAGTGCAACAGTCACATGACCTTCCAACATGCAGTTAATTTGATTTCCACCACTCTGTGTGAGAAATCTTAACATCTTTTTTATGTCAGTGTCTCGGTCTGCCTACAAATGCCAGTTTAGGAAATAAGTATCCTACACCTGTTGATGAAACTGTCTTTGTGTTCTTTAAAAACAAGTTTCAACATACATAGTTGCAAAGATATTCCTCAAATTTGGTTATGAATGCGCCAAAATTGAATTTGAAAACACTCCAATCGCATTTTTCTGTGTGGCTAAACTATTTAAATAAAAAACAATAACAGAGTGAAAACCTTAGCAGACTTAGACATTTCTTTAAAGTTCCTATTAACAATCTGAAGACACAAGAACGAGCAGTCAGTGATACCACATCAGCTGCCTTTACTTGAAACAAAACCAAAAACTACAGATATATTGACAGGTACAGAACATGCTCTGGTTTTGCTACACAGTAAAATTATAAAAATCCTTTTGGTATATAAAAATGTACTTCAAACAGAATGAGAACCTTTGAAAAAGACATCGCACGTAAAGTTCATGTCGTTGGAGCAACTGAGCCCTTCTTCAGATTGAGAAAATTCCTCCTCTTCTTCTGTTGTGGGACACTCACGATGTCCCGTGATTGAGGCGGGTCTCGAAACACAAACAGGTGTTCTCCGGTGACAGTGGTGCTGTCCAGTACGCTGCAGGCAGAGGCTGAGCTCATGCTTTCCTCTGCTGGGTGGTGCACAGCTTCCCTCACCGAGTCCACTGGGTCACTCTGCAGCTGCTCCACAAGCTCGGCTGCTTTCAAAACAAGCTGCGCTTTTGGAACACTGTCCAGTTTCCCCTTTACTTCAACTGGCAGAGGAGGAACATCTCTTGGAAGCAGAAGACGGGATCTGGGGAGCAGTTTTTCCACCAGACTCTGCCACTTTTCGTGTTGCCTGAGAGATGTAGAAGACAAAGAGGCTGTTGTTAGCGGGAGTGGAGTACTTAAGTTGCTTACGTCATGTGTGTGGTCACTGAAGCCAAGCCACTAAACTCTTCTGATGAAAAGCAAATTTCACTTCAATTTAGGACACGCCAAAGAAGTTTGTGATGGCTGATCCACAGATTAGTTCTGGTGGTGGTGCAACATCGGGTCTTTATTTGGAAACTGGTAGAAAAATCAGAAGAATGTGTTGAACTCACCTCTCTTTTTCCACTGCACAGCTCGGCACATTTCCAATATTTTTCTGCACCACATGTTCCCTCAGTTTGACAGGGAGAAGTCTGTTCTGTTCCCCGGCCCATCTGGCAAAAAGAGTAATCAATATGAAATTAAATATTACAACAAGCTTTGATTTTAAAAAAAACACCACCAACAAAAATCTCCCAGAAGAGCAAACTTTACTGTCTAAAGTCATTTGCATGCATTCAGATATGAAGTTGAAACAATCAAAAACAGTATTGTTAGCGTTTTTGTTGATTTCAAAAAGGCCTTCGACACTATTGACACCATTCTCCTTGAAAAACTGAATAAATACAGTGGGTATCCAGTTATTTGAATAATAGGAGACAGTTTGAACAAGTAAATGATGTAAGAGCTGAATTTTGTGTTAATGGATGTGGAGTTCCTCAGGGCTCTGTGTTGGGACCAATGTTGTTTATTTTGTATAAGCAAATGATCTGGCTGATGTGTCAGGGCTTTTTGAAGTGCGTTTTATTTGCAGATGATACCACTTTTTTTTTGCTCAGGCGAACATATTGAACGGATGTTAGAGATGATCCAGGGAGAATTTGTAAAAACACAAACTTGGTTCCAACTTAATAAGTTTGGTAAATTTGAAAAAAAAAAAAAAAACTACGATATTTAGTAATAGAAAGAAAATTATTGAAATCCCATTTAAAATTGACTGTACTGAAATTTATAAAGTTAATGAAATAAAATTTTGGGGTGTCGTTACTGATTAGAAGCTGACATGGAAATCTCATGTAAATTACTTAAGAATAAAAATAGCACAATCAATTGCATTACTGTATAAAGTCAAAGTTTTTGAATGACAAAGCTTTGTATATATTGTATAATGTAATGATTGTTCCATATTTAATCTATTGTATTGAAGTTTGGGGAAAAGCATGCAAAACGATTACAAATCCTATTTTCATTTTATAAAAAAGAGCTATAAGAATTATTAGTAGGAAGTGCTATGGTCACCCAACAAATATATTATTTTATCTTTCATTCATTCAACCTTTATCAATTGAAATTATTAAAATATTATGATTTGGTTGAATATAGTATTTTACAAGTCATATATAAAGCTCATAAAAAACATTACCCCCAAATATTCAATTAAAACGTGTTAAAAAAGAGAGTCGTTATAACCTTAAGGGATAGAAATGTTTGTAAAACCTCCATTTAGAACTGGTGTGAAGGAGCTGCGTTGTAGTTCAGGGAACAGGATGTGGAATTGACTTGAAGGCACCATAAACATTTCTAAAACAATTTATATGTTTAAAAAGATGATTAAGTTAAAGTTGTTAGGAAAATATGATACCATGTGAAGAAAGCCTGATGTTTGTTTGTTTTTTTGTGTTTAAGTGTGCTGTACTGGTGCAGAGTTTTCAATACATTTGTACCTCAGTACATTTATGTCTGCGTTTAAAAAACAAATGTTTTAAAATAATTCAGCAGTTTTTCTGTATAAGATCGGTATCGACCAATTCTAAACATCAGACATCGGTATCGGTAGCAAAAAAAAAAGTGCATCGGCGCATTCCTAACTACCTCATTATAAAACACTGGAAATTTAAAATCAAAAACTAAATCAATAAATGTAATATCCAGTATCTGCTGATGGCATTGCTTAAAGTTACTGACGCAAATCTCAAAATACGTTTATCCTCTACCTATCGATCAACCCTACTAACCACTTAAATGCGTTTGAACAAGAACTACAAGTATTGCTGGGGATGGAAGAAACACAAGACCTACAAAGAAAAGCAAAGCACACGTTGCACGTTGCTCCAGGAGGAGCCGTTCTTCCCTTGTGCTCCTGCCAGGCTGCATGATTTCTAAACGACCTCCTGCTCGAGCCATTATTCATTCGTGAGGTAACCCGAACTCAGCGGGAGACGGTCAGAGACGGTTCCAGACCATCGGGAAAAAGGGAAATGAAATGATGAGTGAAATAATTCATCTTTTTATCTTTGCTCAGGGGGAAAGGACTCGTGTGGAGTTGCATCCAAACAGCATTTGTTACTTCTCCATGCTTGGAGATGGCAGCGTTTCAGTCAGCTGCTGGACAAACGCTGCTTTTACTTCATCGATGACTTCACTGAGAAAACTGCTCTCAAAACCACAGAACCTTGTTGTTGTTGTTGTTTCAGGGTCGCCTCAGCGAGCACACTGTGCACAAACCATTCGACCGCTGTTTTACACCAGATGCTGGTGCAGCCTGGGCTTGAGCCTACGGCCTCTGGATTACAAGACCCCAGCACTGACCACTGATCTACCATGTCCTGCCAAAACAACAGAAATGTACCTGCTTAAAAGAAAATCTAAAAAAAAACACACACCAACCAACAGACATTAATATGAATAATGCCCAAACTCAAAAGTAAAGAGCCAAACGAAGAGCCATTTTAATTATTATAACTCATTTATAATAGAAAAAATAAACAACGTGCAGTTTTCAGAAAGTTAAGTGATTGTGTGGCAGCCACAAATAAATAGTTTTCAAACATAAAATTATATTACAGTAATGTTTTCGCTTTTAAAGCCTGAAACAAAGTTGTTTTTAACTTTGACCACATGTGGCTCAGGAGTTCAGAGAGAAGAGTCAAAAAACGCTCCGTCAGTCTGTCAGCCACAAGGACTACTCTCTGCAGTAACAGAATATTCTGCATTTAGATTGTTGTTATTAAACATAAGCTGTGGTTCGAATGGGTGAGTTGGTCTAAAAGTGTGTAAAATGAAACAACACAAGACTTTTTGACTGTAAAGACAAAACACTAACAAAAATCTTTGTTTTAATAAAATGTTTTTCTGTATAGTTTAATAGAGAACCTTTGATTGTGGTAACATTAGTTTTGATGTTACAGTTAAATATTGGATGTTTTCAGTACCTCAAATTCAGGTTCAGAATTTATGCGTTTATCCATTTCTGTCTTCTGACGAAACGATCAGACACAAAGCTTGCACACCGAGTCCGTTGTATTTTATTAACCGATCTATTGCAAATAATGAAAAGTTGTCCAGCATTAAGGACGACTTAGTGGTCTTCTCACTTCTTAGTAGAGAAAGAAAAGTGGTAAAAACTATAACGATTCTTCCGTTCATCAACAACAAAGTCAGTTTTACTAGAAAAAAAGAGCTTCTTGTTATTTTGTGCAGATCTATTTAGTGTTTTGTTGGGCTGCACTGACCCGGTTTGTTGCTGGTCATCTTGGAAACTCTCAGTAAACTGATCCCTAAGTTTTTAAATCTGTTTTCTTCATGCAGTTTTTGTCCAAAAAAATATGACGGATTGCAAAAAAAAATCAAAAATACTTGGAGTAACTGTGTTAATGTGACTGAGTCATCTAACACTGAATTCAGTTGCAAACAAACAGACTTGGTGTGCAAAGGTTTTTATTGTTTTGGCTGAATAAACGTCTTAAAAAGAAGAGAAAGAAATACAGAAAACGACTAAATGAAGAGTTGCTTCTTAAACATATCAACTTACCAGGAACAAAGATTTGACAACAGCTGCGTTAGAGTAAGGTTTACATACATTAAACATTTTCATAAAGTGGTTCAACTCAAAATGAATATATCGTATAAAAACCAGACTTCTACAGAACTTTAACAATGCTTGCCAGTAAATGAAAAACACTCTTACCCAGTATCCTCTTGCTCTGCAGACTCTGAAGCTGAGTAAAGTCTGGAGCAGAGAGCTTTAGTCATTGACAGAAGCTCACTTTCAGCCACAGTTGGAAGCAGGAGACGCAGTGTCTCGAAAAGGACATCGACAGAGACGTGACTTTGCTTCACCAGCTGAGATGCAAACTTCAGCTCCTAAGATAAAGAGCAGGACTCACTTTACATCAAATGCAATGGAAGCAATGCTTCTGTGAACTGGACTGTTATACACATACAAAAAAATACATCTGAAGTAAGATCTGACCTGGTCATAGTTTGAATAAAGTCGACTGAGATCCATCTGGTCCTTTAAATTTTCCTTGGCTTGATTGTTGGCAGTCGTTGCCTGAAACCTGAGAAATGTAATAGGTTTAGTCGAAGCATAAAGTCCAGCTTCACTCAGACAGGATGACTCACCTTCCTAACATCCGTGTGAGGACCTGCTCTCTCTTGTGAAGTGCCTCGTGCAGGATGGCCTCCATCCTGCGGTCGGCCTGCAGCTGAAACACGTCGTCTTCCTCACTCGTCTCCTCTACTTCAGAGCAGCCTTGGTGGATCCGACTTGATGCCGCTCCGGGCTGAGACGTCTGCACGCCGTCCAACTCTTTCTTCTCCGTTTGAAGATGTTGCTCTGCTTCCACTAGGCCCTTCGCCAAAAATCAAAACAAAGTTCTTATCAACGCTAACAACTTATTGAACTTAGTGAGGACGATCACGTCACAGAATAAAGGTCAAATATGGGTTGTCATAAAATGTAACAAAGCAGGAGTCATTATCAAATGAAGCTCACCAAGAAGTGTTTGTGTATACTCTGAGCCATTTTTTGCCTTTCTAGGTTTTTCCTGTCCCTGAGCTGTTGAATTAACAGGCTTTGTAGGTTCACCATGACTCTGGAAGTCTCCAAAACTTTCATCCATCTCTCAGCTTTTTGGTAGCTGATTGTAGTCATCTGCATGGCCAGGCTGTCTGCCTGAGAGTGCAGGTAATCTCCTCTCTCCCTCTGCATCTCCTCCAACACCTGACAACATTAGAGAGTATTTATTTATTTCAACTTTTTCATACAAACTACTAAACATGCTCTTCATATTTCTAACAACACACAGGAACACAAAAGTACAAATTGCTTTAAGTGACGTGCTTTTGAAGGGGTGTGCTTGATTTGTTAGATAAAATTTAAAAAATACAACTCTGACATATAAAAGAAAACAGCTCCACCTTATCCATAACGCCGCTCTCCATCTCCTTCTCCTTCTCAAACAGATGAATCCTGTCCTGAAGCCTCTTCTGGAAAAACACACCAGATGTGTCTGTTTTATTTCTGGCCTCGGTGGTTTTCCCCTTGGACTGCATACTTGCCTGAAATAAACAACAACAAAGCACAAGAATGGTTGTAAAATGAGTTTGTGTGCACGGTTAGAATGTGATTATTACTGGATAATAAAGCAGTTGCACGTTGGAGGAAACAATTTTCTACTTCTCTTCGATTTAAGACAACATAAAAACAGCGTTCGTTTCTTCTCCAGACTTCTAATCCACATAAGATTTATTTGCATAACTGAAAAACAAGCTTCTGATTGAAATTTAGAGCAAAAGTGTAAACATAACATAAATATAAACACTTCTTATGGAAAGAAAAATGTTTTATAAGTAAACCCACAATTAAAACATGTCAACTGCATGAAGCTCCTGCTCAAGAATAAAATAATATCAATCAAACGTGTAAAAATAATGCTTGAGTTGCAACAACTGATGCTTCCTGCCTTCTACTTCTGCAATCTTCAACGATTAAAGAAAGAGACTCCTTCAGGAGGAGCTTGCGGTGAAAATAAGGGTGTATTCCACACTCAAAGAGATAATTATTAATAGTGGTGTCACATATTATAATAAAAATGATGTTGATTTTTAACAACCAGTCACTAGAGCAGGTATGTTTTTAGGAGTCTATAAACAGCTTTCTGTAATGTGTGTTAACATTTAGTCACCATCTGATCTTCACGCTCCTTTCTCCATGTTGCCAAGGCAACGCAGAGCTTCGTTCTGGAGATGGCGTGAGGCAGAACGAGACAGCGGTCGGTCACAGACAGACACTTCTGAAACTCCAGTTTCATCCTCAGCCTGTCGTCTTCAGACAGAGTCAATTGGGACAAACACAAACACCTAAAACAGACAGGAAACAGCAAGAAAAAAAAACATATTCCAGTGTCAAAACTTTACACGGCTGCAATGTTTGTTTGGAAAAACCTCAAAATATATACATACACACATACATGAAGACGCGAGTAAAGATGATAGATGGACGGCACTTCTGTAATGAGGAAAACTCTTTGCATCCATCCTTCCTGTTGCAACACTGACCTGAAAAAATCTCTCCAGCGCATCCTGAGCTCCTTCTGCTCCTGCAGCTCTTTCTCCATGGCATCCTGCAGAGCCTCCCTGGTGGAGCTGAGGGTGTGTAAGGCTGCCTTGCCTTCCTGGTGAAGCCTTTCCTGCCCCTGCAGAAAGGTGCTTGCCCCTTGTCCTGTGGTCTTTCCTGGGCCTGACTTTGCTTCCACCTGCAGCATCGAGTGTTTTTCCCCTGGTGGCAAGAGTGCCAGGACAGCCTGAGCAGCAGATGGTTGGATGGCTTTAATGTCAGCTACAGCGCCCTGGATCACTCGCATCGTCACCTACAGAAAAAAAAACAAAAAAAACAGGGGAATCAATTAATGTTTTTTAAAAATGGCTGTTTTATACTTAGCTTAGATTTCTATCTGATAACATTGTGATGCAGACGGTCAAAGCAGCACCTTGCGGATGTCTGCAGCAGCTTCCTCGTCCAGGTTGTTGATCAGCTCTGCAAGCTCCAAACTTTGAGCCGTCAATAAGTTCTGCCAACAATTTAGGTGCTGAGATAACTCGATTTTTTTCTCCAGATTTTTAGACATATTTGACAAATCCCTCTCTCTTTGTTTGTGGACTCTCACCTGGAGGAGTGACAAAGGAGTGTTATTTAGGTCTATTATGCACAACAAGTTTCAATCCTGCTACAGATCACCACCATGTCAGAGATGAGCTCCCTCCTCTTCTTAATCAGTCCGCAGCGCATCGCTCTCTTCTCTTGGCTCAGCGTCTCATCCAGTCTTTGTCTCACCAGGACGAGCTCTTTCTGGGCCTTTTCTTTCAGCTGGTCAATCTGCTCTGCAGGTATGAGACTCCCTCTGGTGGAGAAAACAACAAAATTCAATTCAGTTTATTTATAGCACTAAATCACAACAAAGTTGTCTCAGGGCACTTTACAGGAACAGTCACATACACAGAAAAGCCAATTAGTAAAGTTCTTTATCTAAGGAATCCAGCAGACTCGTTGAATCTTCACTTTGTTGCAGTCGTCCATCCTGAGCAAGCAGAATGGCAACAGCACAGTATTTTAAACTGCTTACAATATACTGGTATTTCAGTTTATTTTTTATCAACGTGTAACATACCAAAAGTTGTATGAAATTATTTTCTTTCTCCCTAAAAAATATCATATTGCAATATAAGTGCAGATAAGGTGTGTTTTAAGCTAGTTACCAAGACAAAGTGATCAAGCAGATCATCACTTGTTAGTCTTTTACATGTTTAGGTAACATTTTATCTGCTTTAGAAAAAAACACCTAAACATGTAAGCACGGTTAAAAAAAACTAATTTAAATTATGTTTTTTTTTTAAACAAAAACAAGAGTGTAAGCTTCCAGTACAGAAAGAAAACCAAGTCATTTTCCATAGCTGTGTTCAGTAACAGCTTCCTGATTGACAACCCTGTCAGCTAGCCTGTAAGAATAACCTTATACCATGTCAAACAATGAAACAGTTTATAAAAAACAAAACTTTACCAAATGAATATTCTTTTTTGTAACAAAAATAGGCAATTTTTTGACTGAATATGAACTCCAAGCCACGGTTTGAGCTACAGAAATATCTGCAAAGATGGCTCTAGTGCGTTTTTCATTTGTTGTTTAGTGTAAAATGGACCAACCTCCTTATACGGTTGAACCAGCTGTCCAAGCTGCTGGAGGTGCTGGTGAAGGTGTCAGAAATCAGGCCGTTCAGGCTGTAAAGGCTGTGCACCAGGAACTTCCTCTGTGCACTGCGTTCAGCTAGCACGTAACGCTGATTAGCAACAACAACATCCAACACTTCCTCTAGCTGATCCTGAGAAAAAATAGATAGAAGAAATATTAATTACTTGAATTTGTAATTAGTTACCTAATTTATCTCCGCTTAAACAGACACAGGTATAAAGAAAATGTCTTCTGTCTTTATTGATGAACTTCAGTGTATTTAGAAAACATTACTGAGACTGAATTTTTAAGCCTAAAACACACAAAACAAAACAAAAGCGGCATAAGTTTGAACTCCTTTAACGTGGACTGTAAGACTTAAAGATGTTCACCTGACAAGAGAAGTACTCGTGTTGAAGAGTCCTTGCTGTGGTTTTGTCTAACTCTCCCATTCTTGTGGCCTCCTCCAGTTCTTCAGTGAAGATCTTGTGCAGCTCCACCCGCCTCCACTCGATGGTTTGCCTCTGGACGTTTGCTGAGGCTTCTTCATGGCGAACCAAGAGGAGGCGCTGAAGCTGGCTCTGGCTCAGCTTGTGCAGCTTCTCCAGGAGGACACCACACTGAAGAAGCTCCTGCTCACGTTACAAATGTACTGTTTTGCAATACACCACATAATTAACAACATTAAAACCGTGTTTATTCTTATTACCTGCTGGTCTGCATGTTGACAGAGCAGATCAGCCTGGGCCTTTTCAGCAGCTTCACGATGATGTTCTGCCTCAATTTCTTCCCGAGTCTCCAGGTTACACCGACCTGCCAGGACACCCATCCGTGCCCTTCGCTCCTCCTTTAGACGCCCCTCCACGCCCAGCAGCTGTCCATGGAGCACACTGAGCAGCTTCTGCTGGGCCTGAGAACTGGCTTCCTCCCATGATTGAAGGCCCACAAGCAAGCAGGACATCACGTCTTTGTAGATCTGAATCCGAGTGGTCTCCAGGCTACTGGCGGCATTCAGCAGTGACGACATTTCAAGGCTTAAATGACAAAAATAGAAGAAAGTGTACAGAAAATTTCAAAATACACATATTTTACTTTGGCAAAATAATACTATATATATTATTAGTTTAGTTTACTCACTTTTCCAAAGCTTGATACATGTTCTGAGGATCCTCCAGCACCATGACATCCACTATCCTGTCTTCAAATGCAGCTTTATCTTTGACCGTCTCACTCATGGTGGACTCTGCGTCCTCAGGGTCAGAATCACATTTGTTTCTCTGAGGTCAAAATAGTAACAGAAACATTTTAGAGTAGTTTTAAAAACGACAACAGTACAAAGTAAACAGAAAAAAATTGTATGTATTTTTTAATGTATCTCTGCTAATAACGGCTTTTTCTTGAGGTTAAGTGGAATAAATCTGTTTTTATTTTTTTTAATATACCTTGTGCTGAAAAAGGCGGATTCTTGCTCTGGGATTTGTGAAGTTCATGACCAGAAACGCCAGCAACAGCAGCACCAAGGCGATGAAGAAGCCAGCAACAAATCCAGTAAAATGGACTCTGTGGTTCAGATAAATCTACAGGATGCCAGATACATTTTTAAATCAAAACCACAAGAAAAAAAAAAGTGATGTTAAATTCTGCACAACTGTTTCCAGCTGAGGGGCTGTCTATAACATACCTGGTCAGTAGAATTCACCCTCAGCATTAGATTCGCTGTCAAAGGTCCAAACATACTAACATCATTCTGTGAGACAAATACAAACCAACAATAAATACTCTGAAAATATTGCTGTTGTTTACTAATATTACTATAATAAAGTTTGTATGGTAATTGACTTGTAACTTGAGAAAATATTAAAATATACACCTGTGAGGCATTAGAGAAGGTCAGAAAAGCAGGAAGATCAAGGACTTCATTCTTGAAACTCCTTAAATGAGCAGTATAATTAACAAAAACTTGGGATCCAGCTACAGAACAAAAAATACATCAGTTTATATCACAGAAGACAGAAATTACAATTCATAATACAAAGGGGTTGATTCCTAATAACACACCCAAAAGTGAGTCGATTGCAAATGTCTGATAGCCTTTTTCCACGACTCTGCCTTCTGTTTTTATGGGATGTATTCCTGAAATGGAGTCTCGGATCGCCACCTGAGATAGGTTGGTGCCCCCCAAGGGGTCCATGTTGTGGATCAGCAGGAAGAAAGTCAACTGAGGGGGATCGGTGTCGAGCCTCACCTGGAACCAAGACGATTGACAATAAACGCTATGAATGGTCTTCAACATCTTAAGTAAACTGTGAAGCAAAATGTTTATTAGTGACACTGATGTACCTGAGCACACTTGTGAAATTTGACCCCAAACGAAGATGGAGGCGCCACACTCTGAACCTGCAGAGACATTTCATATTCACATAAGTCAAAAAGTTACATTTCTTTAGGGAAATAAATACAAATTTCAGTTGAACAATGTTGCAACCTGAGGGGGAGGGTGCGGTGGGCTCTGTCTGATGAGCGTGCTCCTGATCTTCCTGGGGCGCAGGGCGTTTGACATGTAGCTGAAGGACGAGTAAAACGAGTGTCCCCACGGACCTGTGGGCGCTGAGGAGGAAGCTGGGCTCCATCCAAGAACCAACATGGGCTTATTGGCTTCCACTGTACCTGCCAGGGCAATAAGATAGTATTTAAATCATTTGTGGGGGGGGAAAAATGCACTTTTAAACCAACAATAACTGACAAAAACAATATATTTAAATGTTATTACTATTAATGATACTAATTTGTATTCATACTTAGGTTTCAGCTCTGGTTTGTTTAAATAAAACCATGTTATAACTTCAAATTGACAGTCTAAGGAGGCAGTATTTACAATGTCACAAAGCCATAAACTATAAATATACCGTATATATCTTCAGCTGTTGCTTCTACAGACTTGAGTTGTTTTAGATTTTTTTTATTTTGAATACTGAATTAAGAGAAAAAGTGCAAACCATCAACCCTGAGTAACATCAGGCCTGCTGAATCTCCTTCTTGGTCAGTGCAAAGGCTCTATCAGTGGAGAGAAAAGTTAGTTGTAGTTCATTTGAATTTCAGATAATAATTTGATTTACAAGATACATAAAGAAGTGGTGTTTACTTTGTATACCACGTCTACAAAGCATATATTGAAATGGAGATAAAAGGGTGTTCAGATGAATGGCTTACCCCATGTTTCCCTGTGTAATATGATGTTTGTGTGCACAATGAGGTACAGTTATGTTGAGGATGTCCAGCCCTGTCCTGTACTGTCTCATCTTGACAGCGATAAATACTCAAGGAAGGTACACACAAACACGAAAATGTGATATTCAAGATTAATAACCATACCGTAAGGCTTTCCACGGTTTGGTGTACCCGAAACATTCGTAAATGGTATTACTGCCACCGAGCAAAGCTGCTAGCTAACCGCTTTGTGCCTGCATTGTTGTCAAAAATGTGAAAATATTTCCTCGGAAGCATCATGTAAGAGGGAATGTGGCGTACAAGAACATTTCCCTTTACTGGCTATTTTTAACGACTAAGCATATTTGCACGAATACACATCATTACAAGTTAACAAACGCAGTAATGACAGTTCGGGAAAAGTTTCCAAAAAGTTGGAAAAAACGGAAACAGTAGAAAAAACGTAAAGAAGAAATACAATATGTAATTTCCGGTTAAGTCTTTTAAAATAAAATTACAGCGATGCTCGTGTGAAATATTTAGACTCACAAGTACTTTGAATATTGTTTTTTATGAACTAAACATCTTCGTTTTATTAATAATAATTGATTAACATAAGCTCAAATGACTACATGTTGTACTATTCGATAGTAATCTTAATTTGTGATTTTATGTTGAAAGAACACTCATAAAGTTTCCGCTCTAAGTGTCTTTTTTTGTTTAGCTTGACATGTCGCAATCCTTAGTAATCGCAGTTCGCCCATTGGCTAGAAATTAAACGGGAACTGAACGGAACAAAAAGTTTCTGAGTCGCTAACTTTTCTAGCGTATGATTTCTTGTTACATAAAGATGAGGAAAATACGTACAGAACTTTATATGTGCGGAAAAGGCATTTAAGAGCATCATCCAACGCTAAGTTTATCTTTGATGCTAATTAAAGTGCTAACTGTTTTTGCAGAAATGTCAGCGGTGGAGGTGGAGGCGGACTGCGGCACGGATGTTTTGGTCAGCCTCGCCGAGTCTCTGCGTGTCTCCCCCGGGTTGCTGACCGTGGCTGCCGTGTGTGGAGGACTGTCGGGGATATTAGCCGCTTCCCTCCTCTACCTGTTCTGCATGAAGCCATTGTTGTTGACGAGACAAGTGAGCGCAGCATCATAAAATCCAAGTTCTTCACCTTAACTTAAATTGCCATTTTCTTATCGGAAAGCACGCGTTTCTTGTCAGGTTTACAATGCAAGAAGACTGCTCGAACCTGATGTTGGAGATATGGACGACAACCAAAGTGATGGTGTCTGCAACAGCAGAAAAGAGGCTGCAAGTGGGACCACGAATGTCAAAGTATTACTCTTTCTCACAGTCACTGTGAAAGTTACTGCTTTTTAACACTTGTGAACAAGGCTTCATTGTGTGGGACGCAACAAACTAAGGTTAAGATGGAAGTAAACAGTTCAGAAGTAGAAGCAGAAGTGGTTCCCCCTTTGATGTGGTCCCCCCTCGACTACTAAAGGAAGTTTTTCCTACCCTGGGTCCTTTTATCATCGCTATTCTGAATAGCAGTTTATCCTCAGGTGTGGTGCCAAAGACTTTTAAACATGCTGCTGTCCAGCCCCTCCTGAAAAAACCTAACCTTGACCCCTCAGTCATGTCCAACTTCCGGCCTGTCTCCAGACTCCCATTCACCTCTAAACTACTGGAAAAAATTGTGGAGTCTCAGTTGAAACAGTTTTTGGGGGATCACGCTATCCTAGAGTTATTCCAATCTGGCTTCAAATCTCTCCATAGCACTGAAACTGCTCTACTGAAGGTTTTTAACGACATTTTCATATCCACAGACGCAGGTGATTCTGTGCTGCTTGTCCTATTGGACCTGACATCTGCTTTTGACACCATCGACCACAAGATCCTCATTTCTAGACTGGAGCAGTGGGTGGGCATCACAGGGTCAGCCCTTAAATGGTTTGGGTCCTACCTCTCTGACAGAACCTTCTGTGTCAATATCAAAGATTTTAGTTCGGCATCGACAGCGCTCCAGTGGGGGGTACCGCAGGGGTCCATCCTCAGTCCCCTTCTCTTTTCTTTATACCTGCTGCCACTAGGTGCTATCTTCTGCAAACACAACATACCCTTTCATTTCTATGCCGATGATTGCCAAATTTACTTCCCCCTGAGGCACAGAGGCACACGCTCTATTCAGCCTCTTCTTGACTGCCTGGCTGACATTCGGGACTGGATGGCTTTAAACTTCTTAAGCTTCAATGAGAAGAAGTCTGAAGTCATGCTGTTCCATCCCAGTGGCTCACTCATGAACCATGACATTGACCTTTTCTCTCTAGCCCCGCTAGAGAAACAAAAGGTGACTAATCTGGGGGTGATAATGGACCTGTCCTTAAAACTCAACAGTCACGTAAACATGATGGTCAAATCCTGTTTTTTTCAGCTGAGACGGCTGTCTAAGCTGAAGCCTATACTCTCCAAAAAGAACCTCGAGACAGTGATCCACGCCTTCATAACATCTAGGCTTGATTACTGCAATTCACTTCTGTTTGGAATCAGTCAGTCCTCCATTGCTCGTCTACAACTGGTCCAAAATGCTGCAGCCCGATTTTTAACTGGTACAGGCTATAGAGAGCACATCACGCCAGTTTTGGCCTCCCTGCACTGGCTACCCATTCACCTTCGGATCCAATTCAAAATTCTCATGTACGTTTTTAAATCACTGAACAGTTCCGCCCCATCCTATCTCACTGATCTTCTGCAGCCATATGTCCCACCGCGCTCTCTGAGGTCAGCAGACCAGATGCTTCTCTCAGTCCCAGAAACCCGTCGTAAGCTCAGAGGTGACAGGGCTTTCTCTGTTGCAGGTCCACGACTGTGGAATGAGTTGCCACTGAGTGTCCGGCAGGCTCCCACACTCTCAGTCTTTAAGTCTCGCTTGAAGACCCACTTCTATTCTCTTGCCTTTAACACGGTGTGATTTGTTTTGGTCCGGTCTGTTCTCTACTCTGTTGGCCATTTTAGTTAGCTTCTGCTGCTATTTGTATATGTATTTCTATTTTATGTTTTCCTGTCCGCTGTGCATGTTTGTTTTCTTTTGTACAGCACTTTGGTTGGCCTTGTTGCTGTTTTAAGTGCTCTATAAATAAATTGGTATGGTATGGTATGGTAAGTATGGCTTGATGCAGATAAAGAGCTCAACAGATGTGATGTTTGTGTTAAGAGATCATAAAGACAGAAGAAGATGCACTATATGTCTTTGTGGATCTAGAGACAGCATAGACAGAGGAACTGTGGTCTGAGGAGGTTAGGTGTGCTGGAAGAGGGTGGTGCAGGACATGTACAAGGACAGCAACACAGTGGTGAGATGTGCAGTAGGAGACACAGATGGGTTCAAGATGGAGATACATCAGCCCCTTCATGTTTCTGCAGGTGATGGACAGGATGACGGACAGATGTAACTGTGAAGCTGCAAGGAGTAGAATATTGAAGCTGGACAAGTTCAATAGAGAACTTGGGGTCAGTCATTCAAAGCATCATGCAGCACACATGAGGTGAAAAAATGAAGATGGAGACGAGTGTTTGAGACAGAGGGATAGTCACATGAGTGAAACGGAGAACCGAAGATAATAATAGTTTGACTAGGAGTGGCCAAGATGGACAGGATTAAAAACGAGAACATTGGAGCGGTGATGGACAAAATTAGAGAGGCAAGGCTGAGATGGTTTAAACATGTGCAGAGAAGACACGGTGAATATTTAAACACAAGATGTTAAATATGGAGCTGCCAGGTCATAGGGAAAGAGGAAGACTACAAAGAAGGTTCATAGATGAGGTGATGGAGGATATGCAGAGGGTTGGTGTGACAGAGGAGGATGTTGAGACAGACAATCCACCGTGGTGAGCGATAAATCAAGCAGCCAGAAGAAGACGCTGTGAGGAAACTCCATGTGCAAAACGTTATAATTTAAGGCTAATGGAAAAGTATACATTTTGGGTTCTCAAAAAAAACAACTAATTGACTTCTTGCCTTTTATTTCTTGGTTGACTAGGAGAAGAAGCAGACACCCATAAACAGTGATGTGGCTGCATTTGCATCCCGAGCCAAGGTGGTTTACCCCATCAACCAGAAGTACAGAGTAGGTCCACCACATTTCACCCGTTACTTCACCATTTAACAGACTTATTCTGAAGCTGCTTACGTTTTATTTAATTGAAGCAATGTCACATTTTCTCTGTATATATTTTTTTATTTGCACAATTAACAATACATTTAATTGACAGAAAATTTGACAAATGCCAAGTTTAAAACCAGATAAAAACATGTTTTTTCTGTATACTGGATGTTTGTTTAGATTCTGATGCTAAGTTTTTTTTGCTTCTTTTAGCCTTTAGCAGATGGTGCATCTAACCCATCACTTCATGCGCACTCAAAGCTTCCAGCAGTTTCTAACGAGGAGTCATCATCCTCCGCTGATGAAGAGTGTCCCACTCAAGAGCAGGACAACAGTGGCAGCAGCCAGTTTATCTCCTCAGTGATGGTCCCCAAGAGTCTGCAGAACCAGAGTTTCACCAGAGTCTCCCACTACCCCCACACACTGACACAAATAAGGTAAGAATGTGGATACTGTGTTCAGAGCTTGACCCAGACCTCATAACCTTCTGATATCTAATGGATCTAATCTTTGTGTTGCCTCCACAGCTTTCAAGGAAGAGTCAGTCTTTACTGTTTGGCCCTGCAGGAACTGCAACACCACAGCTCCCAGCTGGAGGAAGAAAAATATCTGGTGAGCTTTTACTCTTTGTCTGTACTCGTACTGTATGTCATGAACAGTTCATCCAAAACCTCTTACTGTCTTTTGTTTGACTGCTCATTTTAGATCTTTCTACGAATGGTGAAAACGATATTCAGCGGTCGTTTTCCAAAAGATAAAAATGATGCAGACTTCACCAAGAACATCGTTCAGAAGCAAGAACAGGTAGAGACAAATGGCTGGTGTTTAACCAGCACTAACAAGTGCACAAAAATACATTCTTCAAATATTTGTTTTAATGCTTTTGGCATTTTTTTTAACACAGAAACACAAATTTTGGCATTTTGAACTTAACATTTTTTTTTGTCATTTGTTCAAGGAACTGGACAAATTGAGGAAACAGCTGTTAATCAATCAAACCCATAATGAGACGAGTCCTGATGCTTCCTGCTCGCTGGAAGACATCGAGAGATTTCAGAAAGATCACTTTGAACGCAGCCTTCAAACAGTAAACAGAAAGCATATACAGTAATTAATCAAGGATTATTATTATTTACTAAAGACAAGTCTTTTTACAGTCCAAAAGTTTCGCCAGACAAGTAGAAGATTTGTGTCAGCTTCTACTGAAGAGGAGCAGTGTTTTCTCTCCAGATGATGCCCAGAATGTCATTTCTTCCCTCACTCAGACACTTCTGCTTGTTGAAAACCACTTGATGAACTTACAGCAGGCTGACCTGAAGGTACAGGAACTCTGTTTTATTATCCTTCTTGAATCAGATTAGCGACTGAACAGGTGAGACTACAAATATTCATGCTTTTATGCCATGTCTTAGAGGACGCTGGAGAAGTTGTTGTGGTGGGAGGAGATGACGGCGCTTGCGCACACCCAGCCTGCCTTGCTCAGGTGGGAAGTGAATCTGAGGCAGAGTTTGATCGCCACAACGCTGGAACAGCTGACAAGCGACAATATCTTGAAATTTAGCCACATGGAAAAGATACTTTCAGAGATCCAGGTCGGTCTAAGTGAAGGCCTTCAACAAAGCACTGAGGGTAAGATGCACAAAGTAAAAATAGTCTGGTCTGAATCTAACAAATATACATCATAGTAGTGGCTATGTGGCTTAAGGAAAAAATAAAATAAAAGGTAAAACAAGCAACATTCCCAAAAAACTGAGATGAGTCCAACTTTATATTTGATGTTATTCAGCAGCTTTCTAACATCAAATATCAGTGGTTAACATTCAACCTACTTTTAAAGCTTTAAGGACATATATTCATAAAATAGGCCAGGTGCATTTAGGACAAAATAATGTCATGTTATATAATAACAACCAGACTCTTGTGCAACCTTTCTGAATGAGCACTGTCTTGCTTGCCTAATGGGTTATCAAAGAAATACATGCTTAAAAATAAGCTGTCCATACAGCATATAGATGAGAAACTGTTCATTTTAATCCTTAAGTCATATGTATGTCTGCACTGACCTAATTTTGATTGTACAAGATTAATCTTTGACGAATGTGGGTGGGATCATTAGACTGAAAATGGATGGAGATAGGACATTTAGGAAGTCAATAATAAAATATACTGTCCGACTACTTTAACATTTATTGCAAGAAATACGTATTTATCCGTATTTTCCACCGTACACGTCGCACCGTCCTATAAGTCGCATCAGTCCAAATATGTCCCATAAAGTGGAAAAATCCATAAATGCTTCGCTTCGCCGTATACGTCGCATGTATTATGCGTCACCGCTGACATATCACGTTGGTTACGCATCATTGCTGACAACCCCGAAATGTGGACCGGTGTTGTGCCAAGAATCAATTAGCTGACAAATGGCGACTGCGGTATCGTGCACGGGAGGACTTTAACAACATTAACGATTTAAAACAATTATTTGTTTGCTCAAAATTATAGTAAAGGTGTGTCTCAGTCTAACTTTTCCTTAATAAATGCACTTTAATGGTCAAATCAGCTGCATTTCAAAAGCCGATACACGGAAGTAGGAACGTGCACGGGAGGGCTCGCTGTGCATTTCTTCGAAATTTAACAAGATAACCACCTAAAAACAATTATTTGTTTGCTCGACTTTATAGTAAAGGTGTGTCTCAGTTGAACTTTTACTTAATAAATGCACTTCAATAGTCAAATTAACTGCATTTCGCCGGGGTGGTGCAGCGAAATGAAGCTGATTTAACGGTTGCTCCAGGCGAGCTGGGCAAAGGTGTCAGTTTATGGCAAGACAATTGTGTCATTAATAGCCTCTTTTACCTATTACATGGCACAACGGCATGCCATACTGCTCGAGTGCCACCTAGTGGTTGAAAATGGTAGTGTTCAATATAGTCAGTCCGAATGAATGAAAACAGTCATCTCTCAGCCAAACATTGGTTTATAAATATGGGGAAAAATCCATAAATACGTTGCTTCGGCATATATGTCGCAGGGCGATTTATAGGTTGAAAAATATAGTACTACATTTACATTAGTTTAACAAACTGTTTTTGTCATCAGCATCTTGAAAACCCTTCATGTTGTGTTACAGAGTGTGTGAGAAAGATGAAGGAGCTGGTGAATGAGAAGTGCAGCAAAAAGGAGTCTAAGAAGAAGAAGCTCCAGAGGAGCCAGATAAATAAGAAGAGTCGAGCTCTGGATTCTTGCTCTGGTGACCTGCAGGAGCTCACCGCAGTCAGAACACTTTACTTCCCTTCAGTTTATTGATCTGAAATGACTTTTATTATTGTATCAGTCAAAGGTAACTCTTCTCTTAGGTTTACCAGGAGCTGTTGATGAAACACAGAAAGCAGATTTCAGATTTGGAGCTGCAGCAGGACAACAAAGTGGCCGAGGCCGTCTGTGACCTTTGGAAGGTAAGAAGTAAAATTCTCAGTTGTTTATTTTTGCACAGTGATGTGCTGTTGGAGGTTTATTTAGTTATTTCAGCTGTTTTCAGAATAATCAAACGTGTGTTATCCATAAAAATACTTTAAAAAAATTACAGGTAAAAACAAAAAGTACAATAATTCAGATATCATGCAGGATAATGACAACTAAACAAACAATAAACCACCTCACTCTTGTTGATGACTTGTTTTAACATTTTTTAAACCCGTGCTAAGGTTTTTAAGTTTACAGGGTTCACCCATAAGTTGTCGGTACCGAGGCTTGATCTGTGGGTCAGTTTAATATTTAATATGATAAATATCAGTCAGATCAGGTAAACGAGAAGCAAAGCAAGATGACTAATTGATAGAAACATTAAAGGCCATAGCATACCTTTAACTTTCATTTCCCCCTCTCCATGCTTTGCACCCTTCTCTGCACAAATGTATAGTTTGCAAGATAAACCAGATGGAATAAGGTAAAAAACAACAACAACAAAGAAACAACATTACCTGCAGAGTAATTGAATTCTTAGCAACTGTTTTGTGAATCACATATTTATTCAAAAAATATGCCTGCGCAAATTTAGACTGTTTATGCAAAAATACGAAAGCGTATTTAGATAAATTTAATAGCCAGAACAATTATAAAAAAAGATCATGTTAAGAAGGTTTGTCAGCGCATATTTTCAATAGTGATGCAGGGCATCTTGGCTTTCATAAAGTGTTTGGGTCAGATATTTTACCAACACTGACCCATGCACTACTGTAGAGCACGTACTTCATTCTGATGTGATGTTCTGTGTCTCCAGAAACTTTGTGGAAGTTGGTCGAAGAGGCTCGGTGAGATAGCCAAGGAGATCTTTCTCAGCACCGTTCCTGCTCTGACCAGTCTCACTGCTGAACGCTGTGAGGACCTGTGGCTGGATGTGGAGCAGGAGCTGGCTGCTCAGCTGCAGCAGGCGGAGTGCACCACCAAGCAGCAGCTGGAGGACATCAGGGCTGCGTTAAATAAAGATGGGCAGGTAAGGTCTTTAGCTGTGCATAGCAGCTGGATTCTTATTAAACACGTCTAAATCCATGATCGTACTCAAACTAAATGCTCTTCGTTGTTTCAAACTGAGCTTCTCGTTCTGTAGGTGTGGGTAGAGGAGATGGTGCTGGTGCAGGCCTGTTTGAAACATTTAGGTGAACAACAGATGAAGATCCTTCGAGCCATGGTGGCCAGACAAAGTTACACACTCAACAGGTGACGTTAGAAAGATCTGTCAATCATGACATGGATTAAAGTTCTTCATCGCCTCGATGGATTTCCATCATCCGTAAAAATGAGAAGGGGGGAAAAGCGTATGTTTGGTTGTGGTTCTGGTAAAGCCATCTAATCCAGTGATGATACAGGGATTAAACTGACTCCGCTTTCAACCAATAAGTAGAACCGGAGCCGCAGTTTGAGCCAATCAGAGCAGAGCAGGTGTCCTGCTGTCTGCTTCACTGTGAGCCCGGGTGTGAGCAGCTGGGAGAAACTGCAGGTGAAAGCTCACCTCCACGTAGGACACCCCACTACCCTAACAGAACCGCCCGCCCCCGTGAAGGTGATGACATAATAAATTATTAAGCGTCTACATATTAAACGTGTTCGCATGTGACCAATTCACTGCGGCCGGGGGAAATACCAGAAGTGATGCACCATCACCCCCAACCCCTCTTCCTGCTCCGTGCCCCGACCTCCCCGGGACATTTGTATCTAAAATCTAACTTTGTATTAAACGTTCATGTGTCTGGAGCATCATCATCATTATACAGACCTGCCAAACCTGCGCTTGAGACCAAACTCCAGCTCAGAGAGCGAGACGTGCACTGCCGCAGGAGTGTGCTCGGTCTGTTGAGCCTCTCTCACGGTGAGAGAGGCTGTTTGGGCTGCTGTAGTTTTTAAAAATAAATATTAACGCTAAGTGGTGAATATTTATGCCCCGGGTTATAGCAGAGATGTTGGTCTAGATTTTAATTTAATTTTTTCCCCAAAACTCACAAAAGTTCTCTCTGAGAGTCAGTTTCAGGTGCTTGCAGTTTATCATAAATATATATAAAAAATTATAATTTCTACATGGCGTTAAAGCATCATCGAGGTGTTGTGGCTGTTTGGTAGATTATATTTAGAATCACACTGAGCGGGAACTGTAATGTGATAAATGCAATTCAATAAATGATCAGTAATGAAAAATAAATAATATTAAATAAATACACGAGCTGAAATCCTGTAAATATAATACCTTTGAATGAAATAATTATTCCAAGGGTGTAGAGCAACTTTCAGTCAAAACATTTTCTTTCTGCTTTAATCCCTGTGTTCAGCCACTTTAGAATAGCAGCAGATTTCTTCCAGCTGTTTTCTCTTTGGCTGTGTTCCCTTCTACAGTTTCCACATCAGTCTTCCCGAGTCGTTTTAGTAGAAAATAATGGAGTGCAATCTGTTTCTCAGTCAAACAGGGAAGCTGTTGGAAAGGAAACACGAGCATCTTCTGGTGCAGGTGCAGAAGTCGTTTGTGGTCAGGCACTTCTGTCTGCACATGCTGAAGGAGATGAGGCTGTCCAAGCTGAAGACACTCTCTCAGACTGATTTCAGAGCTCTGCTAATGGAAGACACTCCTAAAAGCCAGGCCGGTGCCAATTCAGCTCTCAAGGTGGGGGGAAGTATTTGTATACTGAAATATAATAGTTTGTGTCGAATCTGAGAACCTATCGATCACAATTGCTTCTGACATCTTTTAAGTATCAGCTCTTGCAAGGCACGCCTCTGAGGGTATCGCATCTCAACACTTCCTCTGTTTTCAAGCAGAGCAGCAGTGCCAGCCTGGCAGAGCGACAGCTGGGCCCAGGGAGCCAGCTGCTGGGAAACAACCTGCAGCAGGAGTTCCTGTCTGAGCTGGAAACGGCTACGGAGCTTCTTCAGAGCCATGCACAGCTGGTGCTGGGCAATGCCCTCAGCCACGCCATCCAACACAAGATGACGGCCACGCCCACACAGTCACACACCTCCCCTAAACAAGATGTTGGCATGATCGTAAGGGCTTGTTTAATGGCATAGTTTGTGCATTTAAATGTGTGGTTCTGTGGGAAAGTTATAAACAGTTATTATCTTACCTGTTGTAGATAGTCGTTGAAATAAAAGCACACAGAGTGTAACTCTGATTAATGAGCTAACAGCTCGTCTGACGAGGCCAAGCTGAGCGGAGTGCTGCGGTCTTAAAATGACTCCATTGTCCAACATTTTACATTGATTCTTGAAAGTTATTTTCTAAACTTTTACATCATAGTAAATGTTGCGTTACGTTGTTATTTAAATTGATTTGTATCATTATTTACCAGGACAAATAGCAGCTGCATATAGTTGTTGCATTTCTGATGCAGCAGGGCCACTTCTTGCAGGACTTTCATGTTTTTGTTGAAATAACCGGGTTGTGCAAAACTGGCAGTAGTGTAAAGGTTTATAAAATAGTGAAAGCATGAACTGCTCGAAAACTTTTAACAATTTGAGTTTTAAGAAACGCACTTTGTGTCAAGGGCTTGTTTGTCCTGTCAGTAAAAATATGTACAGTATATATTTTTTTGTTTGTTTGTTGAGCACGATGCAGAATTTTTCTGTTTCTCCCACTGTTTTAGCTCCACCTGACAGAGGCTGCAGCAGAGAGCGTTTACGTGACCAAAGATTCTCTTACAGCACTGGTTGGAAGCTACTATTCCCATCTTCAAGACATAGCCAGTAAACTGGAGCAGGATCTGTCAAATATAAATCAGGGTAAGATGACTGTCTAAAACCTGAGTTTAGTTTCTGTTTTCTGTCTCTACAAATGCTGTTAGTACCTGGAGTCAAGTGTTTTATTATGCATCCTGAATGAATTTGTCTCGTATTTATGTCTTTGTAGTTTGTCAAGTACATATTCTGTTGCTTTAATATACCAATATAGACAATAAAAGTAATTATTTATGTCACAGAGATTGTTTGAGTTAAGTTTACCGTTGTGAACTTTTATCAGAGACCAGTGAGAGGTACGACTGCAGCAGTCAGCTGAGCAAAACCTTGATGAGAGAGCTTGAGAACTGGGGCAGGAAACCTGCTTCTGCTGAGTTTCAACAAAGGTCTGATGACAGTAATAGTACTTTTAGGTGGAGTATTTTCATCAAACAAGAGTGCCTCATAGATCGTTCTTGTTTTTGTACATGTTAGGGTTGAACAAAATAAAAAGAAGGTGCTGAAGCAGATTGATTTGGATCAGGTGCTCATGAACGAGGAGCTGAGGAGGAGAAAAGTAGCTCTTGATCAAACAGTGGAGAGGATCAAAACAGAATTAATGGTTGGTATTCTGCTCTGCTCCACTTGTTGACAGATAAATTAATATGTTCAAGATGCAACACGTATTTTTCCTTGAGCGCTTTGCTGCTGTGTCCATTAGGAGGCGGAAGAAAGCTTCATAACGGAGCTGGCAGCTTTGGCCCACGTCTCTGTCCACAGTCCAGATATCAAACCAAGTGATGAAGAGGACCATGTTGGTAAGCAAGTTTACTGAGCAAAAAGAAAATGCAACAAATTGATCATGTCTTGTAGAAATATAGTGACATCAAAACATTTTTGTTAGCGATATTCAGAAATAAACAATGCTTTTAGTAATTTTCTAAATACAGATTGAAAGTGATGAAACATAGCTCTGTTTTGAGAGTATTTACAACCACAGCATGATCAGAGTTAAAAAATACAGCTGTTTAGCCAGTAAATTTTTTAATTTAAGTTGATAATTTGGTAAAATAATTGGCAACTTTAAAAAAAAATGTTTTAGTAGAGATCTAATCTGACTTGTTCTTAAATCTTCACTTAAAGCGTTGTCGCTTCTGTTTGTCTCTTAAAATTATTTGTGGATGAAAGAATTGCTTTGTCAAGATGTTAATACGTTTTTTTTATATATAATATATAACAAAATATAATTTATTTTTCACTCTTTGGTACTTTATTTTGTACTTTTATTGCATGCTGTAGTATTTCTTGTTATGTTAGCGAGTAGAAATGGTTCTCATCCTGAACATTTCATTGCATTGTTGACCTTGTGTTAACCTGCGTATGACAAACAAATTTATAAGAAAAATTCTGCAACCACCACTGTTGTCTTCAGTGAACATTCATTTCCCAACTCTCACCACCCAGGATTAAACAAACGGTTTACCTGCCTCTATTATTTAAGTTCATGATGACTTAGCTCTTTGTTCTTAACGCATTTGAGTCTAAAACCTGAACTGTTTATGTCACATGTTCTCGTAACTTATCATGTGTTGCACTTTGACAGGTGAGCGGAGCCCTCCAACACTGGACTTGCTAGCCTTGAACCCAGCACTAGATCCAGCCTTGAATCCATCTCTGACTCCATCTTTTGTAACGCCAAAAGTGAAATCAAAACCAAAGAAGAAAGAGCGAGAGCCTCATCTCAGCTGAACTCTTTATAAATAAAATTAATGTTAAAAAAATAACTTTTTTTTTACCACTTTTTGTAAAGCAAATGAACCATTTTGTCCTGTGTTCTCCATTTGTCTAAATGTACCGTAATAATTTTATGCATCGAAAACTTATAAAGCTGTGTGATCTTTTGTGCAAGTGTTGTTCGTTCTTTTCAACTAGCTAATAAAACTGCAACACAGCAGTGCTGACAGTAATGCATTACTGACCGTACTCACCCGTACCGTGGCTCATTCACTGCATTGATTCCTGAGTGCAGAGGATGATGGATGCCCTCCTCTCAGCGAGTTGTTAGATGAATTAGAGATGTCCTTCCTGATTGTAGCAGAGTGCTGCTACTCAGCGATGAAAGCCTCGCCCTTTTTCTTGCTCTAATGGGGTTTTAAGTACACCCCATTTATGAATGATAATGTAGAGTAATGGTGAAAAGTCTGGGAGTCTGGCAGACAGCTCTGTGCAACATTCAAGCGGGAAATTTAGCCCGGACCGTTGGGTTTCCTGTCAGGGGTGGACATTTTATGTTTGTCAATTAAAAAACATCAATTTTTAATCTGCCCTTTAATTGTGTGCTTACCTTGGAGCCATAACTGTTTCAGACACACAAACATGTCAGGGTGACCTGCCAACAGTGTGTGTGTGTGCATACTATCAGAAATGCGGTCTTGCTATCGACTTTGCGAGTGCCGTTGCAGCTGATCTGTGATGAAGGGAAACCATTTGGATGTATTTTGAGATCCCTCAGGGACCTGCAGTGACTTGTGGGAAGATGACCTGGTTTCTAATTTTTTCCTCTCCTGCCTGGGTTCTGGGCTAGTTGCTTTTGTTAAACAGAGATGCCTGAAAGGAGTGCGAGATGAGACAACCGGTAGTCTTTTTCTGGAATATGGACTTGTTTACATCATAAATGAGGATTTTCATAATGGACACAGGTGTGGCTTTAATGCTTTCCAATAGATTCAGGTAAGATGAGAGATGGAAAACATCTGTTGTTTCAGCGTAATAATCTAATGCTTAGCACCAGTGCATTTGCATGTGAGTCTTGCTATAGTCATAACTGGAACATAAAAACTGATCATCATGTACTTTTTTATGTAGACTAATGATTATATTTTTACCCTCATCAAAACGCATGCAACAATCAAAGTTGTCAAAAAACATTTAGTCACTTTTGTGCCAATAGCAGGCAGATGAGTGCAGTAAAGATGCCCTGAGCAAGACTATATGTGTGCAGTGTGACAGTGGATCAGATGACTGGTTAACAGGTTTTTTTATGTTATTTTTGATAGGTGAGCAACAATGGCTAACCTGCAGCAGGAATACCCTGGAGTCCTTCTGGTCATTCTGGAGGAACTGGCCCATATGCGCCAGTGGTTAACTTTCCAGGACCTTTGTCGTATGGTCAGCACCCGCTTCGACCTAGACCATCTTATCGAGCTCAGGAGTTTGCTGTTTGCAGCTGCCAGCAGGGATCCCTGTTTTCCTGCTACCTTATTCAGGGATCGGGTCTCCACCAGAGGCCAGGGGCTTTCACCCATAGGGGTCGCTGCAGACATAGTAACTATCTTCAGTCTTATTCAGATGACGGGTGGGGTTTCTGATGACCGTGCAATGGGAACCCAGACAGTCCTGCCTGTTGACCAGTCCCCCGGCCCCATTCTGCCTGGGATCCACCCCCTGAACATTTCTGGTCGAGAGCGAGCACGTGCCAACTCTGACTCCAGTGGAAGGTCTATCGACCAGCACTTGCTTTTTCCTAAATCAAATTACTCAACTCGCAAGAGAGCAAGTCTTCCCCCAGATCCCATTTCATTTGTGCCCTCCCCTCCTGTCAGGACAAGAGCTGTGTCTTTTGACTTACCTCACACTACACACTCATACTCCATTAGTCCAAACCTTGATGAGGTTATGAAAAATATCTACCTGCCATTGGAGACAGACAGTGAGTCTAGTGGAGATTCTGCTACAATGGAGGTGTTTGAAGCTGAACCAGGATCAGCAGTTGATCAGAAGAGAAATGTTTTTAAGAAGGACTTCCATAACCAGCCACCTCTAATACCACAGGTGACTGTCAGCAGTGAGTCTCCTAGTCCCAAAACAGGGCATATTGGCTTCGACAATCGCAGCTTTGAAGTAATCCCCAATCCTTATCCATCGCCTACAGCAATTCACCTCTCACCAGAGCAGCGGGTTAAAGCTAAACACGAGAGCATCGATGATCTGCAAGACTCAACTTATTTTGGGCCAGGCTCAGTCCCGGATCCTTCTCCACGGCACCTTCGACCACCCAGGGCAAAAAGACCCCTCTGGAACAATAAGAGTCACAGTCTAGAGGACCGGATATGTGTGGACAGCATTGATATGGGGATAGAATCCCAAACAGGACAACTTCCAAGGCAATCTACCCCCGCTATCAGCAGTTTGGGGGGAGAGAGTGCAGATTGTGGAACTCCAAATGGACGTGAAAGAAGGAAGGCTCAAGGAACACAAACTGACCCACCAGACCACCGGAGACTTCGTAGCCTGGTTCACGCTGATCGCTTCTCCTTCATGACCTCATTAGACGACCCTGAGTTTTGTGAGGATGACATCAGTGCAATATTTCATTTCTTAGATGATATAAGCATGTGTGGATCTACGGGAGTTCTGCACCCCATCGACGGTAACCTTAGCCAGGACACTCCTGAGGCTCGACGTGGTCGCCTGGGTCAACTCCAAAGACTCTTTCATTCCCTGGAAAGCAGTGATGATGGGCTAAAAGCCAGTGTCTGTAAGCTGTTGCTTCGTATGAGTCAGATAGAAAGACAACTAGAGTCACTGAATGATGTGAAGGCTGAGATTTCTCAGGTACTCTCTGCTTTGCAGCGACTGGACGAAAAGATCCAGCAACCCATTGTTGATGGTGGACAGGGCACTGGTGGCAGATGGCTTGAGCCTCTCAGTGGTGTCTCCTCTTTTATGAGCCACCCTATAACTCCCTCTGATTCATCAGAACCTCAGCCTCTGTCTGCAACTGGACACTTGTTTCCTGGGACAAGCACAAGTAGTCTGGACTGGAGCCGATGGAACACCACTGGAGATCAGACGGAAACCAGCAAAGGTCAGGTAGACTCCAAAGGAGCAAAAGAAGGAAATAAGGATGCATCATCTCATCGAGCCTCCAAAACACAGCTTGAAGAAAAAAATCTGTCTGACACCAAAAAGATAAATAACTCTAACTCTGCAAGAGACTGGACTGTGGCATTCTCCAAAAGTAAGGATGGGAAAGCATCACAAAGGAAAATTGTACAGGTAGACAACTTTTACATTCTACATCTTGTGCACATTTTTTTACACTTTACTTTATATAGTTTCTACATGTAATTGTTTAATGAGAGGTGAGTGACTAAATCACCAAACAATAAATAATTCTGAAGGCAATGATACAGTTGATATGAAGTGTATATTAGGTAGCAAGGTCTAGCCGCAGTATATAAATGGTAAATGGACTGTATTTGTATAGCTCCTTTCTATCTTATCAAGATACTCAAAGCGCTTTACACTACAACCTGTGTCTTCATGTACCCATTCATACAGCACTCTAATAGATCTGCACAAAGACTAATCAGTGCTTTAGATCACATTCCTACAGTGATGGGACACATCGGAGGCAATGAGGGGTTCAGTGTCTTGCCCATTCGGCATGTGACTGCTGGTGGAATCAAACCTCCTCATCTCTTGCATTGGAGGACTACTGCTCTATCCACTCAGCCACAGCCGCCCCAGATGTAAATCATGTTTCAGTAAAAACATTGTGAGCAGTTCACCTAAAATCTGTGTTTGGTCCATTCATATTCTAGGCAGATCAAACAGACAGTACCACTAACCTACTCTCCCAGAAACCAGCCAGTATGATGGAACAAGTGTTAAACTCTTCACTGTTTCGACACAAAGACAACAGTCTGACAGGGGATCTTGGCTCTGGGAAGGCCCTTGACCCCAGACTGGCTGAGAGAAGAGGGAGACCCATATGGACCGTAGACGACAGGGAGGCACGAATCTCCCCTTTGGACTTACAGGTGAGACATGTAGACTTTTGAAGAACTGAAGTAGTGAGAAGAATCTTGTAAAGTTCTGTTGCTGTATAGTCTCAATATGAACAAGAAATGCATTCTGTTTTCTAACAAAGGTACTACTGAAATAGTTTTACAATTTAAAAATGCATTCATAGCTCATCTCCTTTACAAATTCATATGTAATTCTGTTCCTCAGGGTCAGGAGTCTCTGAACCCCAACAACACAGAGTTCTGGATGGACGACATTTACACTCCGGGCTACGACGCCCTTCTAAGGAGAAAAGAGGCTAACCGTCGTCGACTCAAGATCTGCAAACTGCTTGCACTTGTTGCCACTGCAGTGGCAATCATCCTCATTATTGTCATTCCCATTTGCACGATACATTCATGAATATGCACAGGGGGAAAAAAATCACTTAAAAGATACCAAACTTTTGCACTCATTTTAATTGTTTAGGTGTATTTATCAGCAGCTATTTGTTGTATCTTGTAAATAGCACGAGGACCAATTCAGGATAACAATTCAGGATAGGCTGTAACACTTTAAAGCTAGGCTGGTGATCAGTTCATACGTCTTACATTTCTCAGCATGATTTGTTAAAAGCTTTTACACCAGAAAAGCAGAATTTAGACCCTCAGTTGTGTGAATTATTTTCATGGTATTTCTTCCTCATTTTATCTTATTTATTTGATGATTTGTGTTCTTAATAGTTCAAGTTTGTGCAAAAGAAAGTTAATAATCGTGATGATTTTAGTGTCTAATTTTTTCCTGACAGCATTTGCTGAAAGTGATACTGAGCCAGTTCAAAAGTGTCAATGTCTTCCCATATTCATATTTTGCACTGCCTGACTTGTTCTTGCTATTCCCTTAGGAACAAAACAGAGCTAATTTACCTTTTATGTCACATAAATGTTTATTGTGTTAGCACAAATGCAAGTCTGTTACAGTATTGGATTGTACGGAGGTGGGGGACATTATTTTCTTGGAGCTGCAGTGTTCTTGTGTTCTTGCACTTCCTTTAAGTAAAACACATATACTGTTAACAAGCTAGAATTAATAAAATATTTTTCATACAGTTCTCTCCCTGTTTTTTTTTTTCCAACAGGAAGACAGAATCTTCCCCGTCCACTTGCACATGTGTTTTATTTGTGGTGCAAAGTGTTTACCAAGTGTCAAGTTTCAGCAGTGAAAGATTGTTGTTAATGGTAATGCTTTCGATGTGAAGAAAAGAAGAAGCCTCTTCCGGTAAACACTCACTGAGTGGGTGATTCCACTTTTAATTCAATTGATAGGAACATTAGTGTATGCCCAATATCTTTAGACAGTATTCAAATGCTTAAAGCTTCGCCGCATTCCTGCAGATTCACTCAGCTCCACTGGAGTCATCTGATATCCATTAACTTAACCAGTGACACTCCACGTTGCACAAGCATCCTTAAAAGCTGCAGTTGACTTTTGAAGCCAAAATGCAAAGCGACAAAACAAAGTTTGTGCACTTGTACAATAGAAGTAATTAGATGAAGCTGATTAATACCAAATACTTCCCTTACAAGCTTTACATAACTCAGTTTTCATGAGACTGAGTTTTGGCGTTTGACAAAGCAATACAAAAGAAATATGAACATTCACAACATTCTGTAAATGCAACTTTCAGGGAAGAAATTATGCTAAAAGTTGAACACGCTAAAGTGCATAGACAATGTGATGAGTAGGGGAAAAAAGTGCATCAGTAAGATAGACTGTTTTCTCAAATCTTCATGACTTCACTTTGCCTCGTGTACACAGATAAGCACAGGATGTGAGATGGGTGTGTTCTGCTTCTGTCTCTACTCCCCAGTAGCTGCACTCTGCCAAGCGGTACCCCTGGGGGCGTTTATGGATCCATTACCTCTCCAATGGTTCCACCGAGGAAGCTAGACCCCGGAGTAAGCACAATCTGCAGGTGCTTTCTCTCAAACTTCACTGCATCAGAGCAGTGGTTCTCAAACTTTTTGCAAGTACCCCCTCGCAGAACACTAAGCTCTTTAAGTACTGTACCACCATTTTGACAAGCATTAAAGGCTTTTAGGCTTGTACTGAAATGTTTCTAACAGACTGAGTATCTGACATTAAGAGAAATGACATATCCAGAGACAAGCAATACATTTCAACTAGCTTTCCTATCCTACCTTTAAGCCTTCAACAAACCCAAATGGCTGAAGGATGCACGTCGAGGCCTGATCAACCTCATCTGGACCTTCTTTAGATGAGGGTGTAAAGTAATGGTCAAAACACCTGTAGAACTTCAGGTCTACATCTAAGGGTGTGTCTCAAAATTTTAACAACAAGCCATAAGTGCTTTGATCGCCTAATAAACATAATAATTTTCACATTTTAAGTCCTGGCCTTTCGTACAGTAATGGATGGACATGGGCACCAGTGACCCCCGCGACCCGAAAAGGAAGAAGCGGGTAAAAGATAATGGATGGATGGAAATTCTCTTGCAGATTTACACCTTTTATTGGACTCACATCCTACAGAGACATCACTGGCAAAGCTGAGGCAGGCTCTACCTCATATGTGTCAAACTCAAGGCCCGGGGGCCAAATGTGGCCCTTGTTGACATCTTAACTGGCCCCCAAGATGTTATTTTAAATGTAAAATACTTTTACCACTTTATTTTTTCAGTAATCTTTGATTATGGTGTCAAAAGTGCAACAGAGAACATCAAATAAGACCAATCAAACTCTTGTTGAGGAACCTGTGACCAAGAAAAGATGTTAGGTATTTAACTTGAGTTAATGTAGATTCTGAAACCGGCCCTTAGTTTGAAAAAAGTTGTAATTTTGGCCCCATTTTGTAAGTGAGTTTGACACCCCTGCTCTAGCTCATCAGTTAACCATCGTCCACTCCAGTTTCTATATGAAGACATGAAATATTATTTATTGTACTTTTGTTTCAAGTAGTTTCCCTGTGACACAAGGATTATAATTTGCTTGAACACCTCAGCTTTATGAGTATTGCTGTTGCAGTTTATGAGCGTTAACTTTGTATTTAACTTATTAATATTTGATTTATTCAAGTATTAATAAGTTAAATATGTACTTACTGGCACTTGACTTCTTTCGGGTGTGGTTCTGAATGATGGCGCAGAGGTTAGAGAAGGTGAGCCTGTGATCGGAAGGTTCGACTCCCTGTAGTAAAAACATCAAAAATGTGGTTGAGAAAGGTACCACAGCTGCCTCCACCCTCATTTGTCCCACTCTGGGCCCTTCAGCAAGGCCCTTAACCCCCACCAGCTGCTCCCCGGGCGCAGATGGTGCTTCCCTCGGTGTGGAGCAGAGGGCTGTGGTAGCTCGGTGGTCTGTGTGGTTGAATCAAAACAGGCCTCCGGTGTAAAAACAATTGCCATGTTTTTGTGCATGTTAGTTCACTGTGGCAACCTCTGAATATGGGAGCAGCTGAAAGAAGAAGAAGAATACTTGATTTCTTCTGAGTACCACTATGGATCCTGAGGATCCTATCACCAGTAGTACATGTATTCAAGGATTCAAGGTTCTTTATTTGTCATTTGTGGAATGAAATTGTGTACACAGGGTCCCAGTTATGTAGTGAGTCACGTGAGGTACGTGTCACTTGTTGTATGACAAATATATGAATTATATATGCATAC